TGAATCTTGCTTGTATCACATTGATGTTATGTGTGTTAAATCACAAAAATGGTCTTAATGATCTAAGCAGAATTACGTTTGTAAAATGTCATTTTCTACCGTTACAGATAATTGTGTCACCAACAGAAGTCTGTTTCAGGCAGCGTTCAAGCCAGTGCGCATCTTTCCATCATTAAATTTGATATAATCTTGCTGCTCATGACAGACAAAAATTTTGCCCAATCTGTCATCTTTGACGGACAAAAATCAGCATGTAAAGATATGTAAGGAAATGTCATGTCAGAAAAGACATCATACATTGTAATTGCAACAGGCAAAATTCTGATGTAACATCGACCAAACATCCAAACGAAAGCCGTGAAAAATTTGTGCAGGTTTTGTGCAGGTGCAGTACGTTCTGCCAACATGTTATTTCTACCTACATGACAAGTATGGATAGTGACTTACCCTACACTGTCTGGTGGTGGTTGTCATGTACTGCAGCACACTGGAAAAGGCATCATCTATAGTTGTAAAGTGGAGAGGATCCTGAAAAAGTAAAAGAGCTACATTAAAATGTGCTCTAAGTTTTATCATTTATAGTATAACTGTCTTAATTTTTCTTGAACATGAAATGTTAAAAGAACATAATTTTTATGTGCAAACCATGTTTCTATAATAGACTTTGTGCATCACAAAACTGCTTGCAACACAGTAGAATTTCTGTAAACGTTTCTTTTGAAAGTAAAATTGAAAAACAGACAGTTGCAAAATATACTTTGTGTTATCCTGTACAATACAATGGACCTATCACATTATTACATCACAGTGTGTTTACCGCAATGAATTCCGGTCAATCAATATATACTATTATATATAATTGTACAGGGGTGCATAGCACGGTCTGTGTTTCAGTGAAACTTGTCGATCCGGATCGGCCGCCGATCGGGATCAAAATTATGCAAATGAAGTCAATCCGGATCGGTTTTCGCAGTGTGAACGCTCCAATCGGGATTGATTTTCTCCGATCCCGATCCAAAAGTAATCCACCTCGGGGAGGTAGTTCAAGACACTTGCGGCGGATCGGGCGTAAACGCGAGTGTGAATGCGAAGTGGATTGGGATCGGGGTTCGCTGGTGTTACGATGTACCACAAATACCACAACCGATCGGGTCTTAATAATATGCAGTGACAAGGACCTTGTGTAATGCTATGGATACATTGCCAATGAAATATGAAAAGAAAACATGCAGATACGTACATACATGTTTACCCCCAACGTCCATGCCCCAACGTTACGCTCAAGTGGAATGGCAGGCCAGTGGAATAGAATGTTACAACCCGTAAGATATAGGACTTCACGCAACGGGAGCTAAACCCTGGCCACCCAAACATGTTCAACAAGGTGTTCTCTTTATTTCCGCTACGATTCCACGCTGTACAAACTTTCTGAATTGCTTTCTTTGGCAAAATTTACGGCGGAGTTGCAGCGGCTCCGGTGCATTCAAGATGGCGGGCTCTATCATCACGTGACACCTCAGTCCATATCTGAGTTCGATGCACAATGCAATCCCGATTGACAGAAAGCAGTGTGAACGCGCAGGGCGATCGGGATTAATGAATTTCTGATCTGGATGGGCGGTCAATCCGGATCCATTTTTTGAGTGTAAACGGGGTCTTAATATAAGGCCTTTATACAGCTCATCATCATGTCGGGAGTTGTAGTTCGTCTACTAGTTCACAACTAAATCACCCATTACGGCATGTAATGCTGTGTCAACACAACTAGACGCAGCAAAAATCAAACATACCTGACTTTGAAAACTTTGAAATGATCTTTATTCTTTAACTGACCGTTCTAGAATGTTCTTTAGAACAGGTAAACAAACTGTGACGTAATAATGTGATAGGTCCATTGAATTGTGAATGTACATGTACATTTGTACATGTATTATCTGGAATCTTCATGAAAATTGAAGAAAATAACTTATGCTCTACCAATCCCATGAAGTAAGCAGTACTAACTAAGTTTGAGAGTTTGAATTTGTTTACTTCTTTGATAACTATATGTATTTCTGGGTGATTTTCTAACTGCCATGACGTGTAGCTTCCCGAAAGCCAATTCCACAATTAAGTGGCTGACGGAGAAGCCCAGCAGTCAAAGTTTCCACCTAACATCTGCTTGAAGATGTAGATAAAGCCAGCCATGTTACCTGTTAATCTCCAAGCAGAGGTTTGGGTTCATCATCATCTTATCATCATCTTAAGTACTGCTGAGCCCAATATTGACATTGGATTACTAGCAGCTGCACATGTTGTTAATTACAAAACAAGTGACCGGTACAAATAAAAACAAGGGCAACTAAAGGAGGGGACACTACGGAACGTAAATAACTGAGTCTGTTGGTGTAAAGGACAAGACAGTGCATTTAGTGTGTTAGTAGGACATATATATATACATATATACAAGACGTGTAGGGGCGACTCAATGCAGCAGGGTCCTCGCCAGTCCAGATTTGAACTGGGCGAGGGACCCCGCCTCCGCCACACCAGGCTCAAGTTCGTTCCACTCTTGGATGGTACGAGGGAAGAACGAGAGCCTGTAAAAGTTGTTCCTACTCGCGATGGTCTGCAGCTTGAGAGCGTGGTTGGTGCGGCGGGAGCATCGAGTCGCCGGGACAACTCTAGATGCGTGCGGCACAGAAATAACATTGTTGGTTATCTTGTACACAATGTATAATGTGGCAAGTCTGGCGTTCTTCCTTCGGTGTGCTAAGGACTGCCAGCCCAGCTTATTAATCATGTCAGTGACAGAACTTGTACGGTAGTAGTTGTTGGTAACGTACCGGGCAGCTCGTCTCTGCACCATCTCTATCCGACCCACCTTTGGGTTTTTGGGTATTTTTGGCATATTTTTAGACTTTTTTTAATCAGGGTTTCTTTTTTGCACCCAAATTTTTCTTTCACTCAACCCACCCTCTGCCAGCACTCACCCCGGGGTGGGGTAAACCTATTCAAGAAAGGTGACGCTGCTCCTCCCCGGGAACCATTAAAGTATCATTAGGGATTCCCCATCCGATATCCATTTTACTGTGGTGGATTATCACACATCTAGCCAGTCAGAAAGGCATTCATTTGGCCACACGCCTCCTGCTGACTGTGTCTACTCATGCGTCTGGTTCGCACCTACTTGTAGAACGACCGTAATGTGTCGAAGTGATTAGGTTTATAGCACAATTTAAGCTTTTGACTGTTGGCAGAGGTTGGGTTGGGTGAAAGAAAAATTTCAGTGCAAAAAAGGAACCCCCCCGATAAAAAGCCTAAAAACATGTTAAAAATACCCCAAAACCCAAACCTCTGCTTAGAGAGTAGTTACCTGTATGGGACTGCCAGCTGCAGGGAGTTTAGGTTGGGGCCAGTCAATCCTCCTCTGTAGCGCCCTCTGTAGTGTTGTGTTCCCGCGGCGCGCCGTGCGACACAGCGTACAGGACATCCACTGGTCCTCAGGGTGGTAACATAACACCTGCAGGGGTGGGAAACACGTGTATGTGTCATTGTTATACCTGGGTCGCAAAAATGGTCGATACAGGTGTTCTAGTATAGCTAAAGTGATGACTATCAAATGGGCTTTAAAATAAATGAAGTAATCTTCGTATTTTGTCCAGCAGTAGAGAGTATTAATGAGTGCCTGCATGGGGTGTGTGTGGTGATTACGAATAACGCAAAATTTTTGCCGCCGATTATGAAGTTACAGAGCTGATTACAACTTTATGATTTGTGGCTACGAATTACGTTGACTTTTGCGGAGGCTGCCTTCGAATTACGAAGTCTAAAAAGGCCTGATTATGCCTACCCAAGAAGAGTTGCATATACATGTATATAATAATAATGGTAGGTATAAAAATAAAAAAAATTAACACAGATTATATTGCTCTTTTTCAGCATCACTACAAAATCCTATATGCTAGCTTAAAGCAAGTATAGAAGAGCGATGGCTATCACTCAAAACGTCCAAACGTCCATGTATTTACTATCCATGTAACGTTTAACTTACTAGTAGTAAGTAGTAGAGTTTGAATTGTCTGTCAAGCATATTTGTTTACCTAAACATAGACAAATGTAACATAATTTAACAACTTTACTTGTTATATCTTCTTCAACTGAATTCGTCCTGCTGCTGCTGCACCTACAAAGGGAACCTTCTACCCTATTACTTGAGGTAAATATGTATCAAAAGGTATATAAGTTATTTGTTATTTTCAGAATCTGATTCTGAAACTGCATGACCAAGCCAAGGACAGTCATAAATTTTAAGTCAACAAAACACTAAAAACAAAGCACAAAAACACAATAAACTGACCTCATTCGGCATAGTTTTCCCCTACTGTGAAACACGAGCCCCTTCACAACCGGTTTTTGAGTGATTTAGTGTGAAGTATGATTTACAAATGATCCCTAAACTCAAATATTCTCACACACTCGAAAAACGCGCGTTGCCATAAACAAACTGCTTCCGGGTTCTGTCAAAAATGCTAACGATGCGCATGCGCAATGTTATACAAACAAACTTTTCTTACAAAAAATGCTAAATTATAACAAAAACTTCTCAATATAGGGAAAATATCACAACAAAAAATACAATTATTAGAATGTTATTGATATTTCTATCCACATTTTTTGTGTAAATAAAAAATTATTTAGGTCAGAGGTCAATCACGTCTGTTAACAAACTTTTCTTACAAAAAATGCTAAATCATAACAAATACTTCTCCACATAGCAAAGTATCACAACAAAGATATGATTATTAGAAAGTTATTGGTATTTCTATCCACATTTTTGGTGTAAATAAAAAAATTATTCAGGTCAGAGGTCAATCGCGGCCTGTCCGCCATT